GGCCGCCGATCGCGCGGGGCGCCGGGGGCGGGGCGGGCGGCGGGCGGAGAGCGGGCACGCGGGGCCTGGGAGCCTGAGAGTCCCTCGGGAGAGGCAGACGGGAGCCCCCTGCCCCGCTCGGGCAGTGAGATCCGCCTCGGTGACACAGCAGAGGCTCCAGGGAGGGTCTGCAGTGAGCTTCTGCACGGGCTGGACCATGCCCGTGATCACCCGGGAGCCGGGCCCTCCACGACCCGCGTGGCTCGGAGGCAGCATTTTTCTATCCATCAACAAATATTTGGCTTTATTCCACTTCTTAATCTTAGTGTCTTCTAAGGACATTTCATGTGTCTATTCATTTGGTTTTTCAAGAGCCATAAGGCAGCATAGAAACCATCTCGCACAACCTGTGCATTTCACGGACCAGGAAACCGAGGGCCTGGGCGGAGATCGGGAATCCCACGACGGCGTGGCGGTGGAGACTTGCATGGAGCCCATGGTTCCTAAGTCTTCTCCTAGGTGGATTTGCATGTTCAGCATCAAGTGTGTGAAATGGGTGAATTTGTGCTTATCTTTGATTCTGGGTGTGCCTGTTAGTGTATGTACAGAGTCTGCTTAGTTCTTTCTCCGGACTCAGGCCACCTTGTGTGTGTGTGTGGGGGGGGTGGGGGTCACGTCTGGAAAGAGAATAGTTCAGCCGATAAAAGAATGGGAAAAACACCTACATTAAAAAATAATAGGTTCCTTGAATTAACACTTCCTGTCCCACCCACCCTTTCCCCCAGGAAAGGAGGCATCACAGTTTCCCTTTATTCATTTATCTGTTCCAGCCCTTACTCCTGTTCCTGTTGGCCCAACTCTTTTCCATGAGCTGAACAGACTGAACAGAGATACTTGAGTTCATCCTGGTATCTCCACTTTGCAATGGTGCCTGCCACACAGTAAGCATTCAATAAATGTTTGCAGTATGAGTTGCAACACTTGTAAAGAATTCCAGAAATTCAAGTTCAGAGGACACTGAGACTGAAGGAACTCACAGATCATGGAGTCCAGTCGTGTTTCATAAGAGGGAGACTGAGACCCACAACACTGGAACCCAAGGCCTTCTAGGGCTGAGGTCAGAGTCTGCATGGCCCCCTGGGGTCATTCTCTTTTTGTAGGGAGAGATTTTTGCTACAGAACAGGTGTGGTTGCCAGAGACAGTGAGAGATAGACAGAAAGTGAGAAATCACTGCTCCCTCCCCATGGCCACCCCACAGTCCTTTCTCCTCCATTCTCTTCTGTGGATTTTGGGCACACATGCACACACACCCGGCATGAGTTTTAAGTCACTGGGTCTGGTACTTGAACCACCAGCTGAACCACCAAGGACTTAACCATTACACCATCTGCTGGTCCAGATTCTTTTGTTGTTGTTGTTGTTGTTGTTCCAGAACATTGCCATGCCACTGCCCTCTCCTAGTCCTAGATTTTTGCAACTTCTTCAAGTCTTCCTTTCTCTCCCCACCTTTTGATTCTTCCGTGGCTTAATTAGCAAGCTCTCCAAGGTCAGGATGAGCATATCAAGGAAACTGACAAAGCCCAAGTGCTTTATTTCTAAGAGGAAACAATAGGCTGTGGGATCATGTGCTGTTTTTGTTGATGGTGTTTGTTAGTGTTGATGTTGTGGGTTTTTAAATTTAAGTGTAAAGGATGAAATAAAAACCAGTGACCTGTGGATGCATGGCAAACTTCACATTCATTTTTTCTTCCATTACCACTGGGGATTTTGACTAGAGTTAGAAACAAGGATGTTACCAGGACTGGAAGGTGGCATAATGGTTATGTTGCTGGAGTCCCATGTAGTCCATGGTTTGAGTCCCTACCAGGCCAACCCACCAGCTTAACTTCACACAGGGGAATGTGTTGTGTGCCCAATATTGAGAGGGGAATGGGGGAGAAGGGAGTGTGTGGACATCAGGGACCAGCAGTTAGCATAATGGCTATGTCACTGGACTCCCATATAGTCGACTGCAGTTGAGTCCGGGGACTGGTGGCTTAAATTCAGGCCAAGGGCCTGTGCATGCCCAAGATCCTGAGAGGAGAATGGAGGAGAAGGGATTGTGGCATGTCCATCCCCCCTGGGGTATGATTTCTTGCTTTCTGTCTCTCTGTCTCTCTGTCTTTCTAGCGAGTACATATGCCCTATAGCAAAAACCTCTCTCAAAAAAACAAAAACAAAAACAAAACAGAGGGGCCAGCATGTGGCACGGTGGTTAAGGGCGCTGGACTCCCACATGGCTGATCATGGTTCAAGTCCTGGACCTAGCAGCTTGCCTTCTCTCTCTCTCATTAAATTTAAATAAATAAATAAAGTTAAAATCATTTTAAAAAAAAGAAAGAAAGAAAAGAAACAAGGGTGTTATGTATGAACAACTTTACTCTCTTTTCCTTCACCATTTTTATTGAAAAGGAATTGTAAGGAATCGTACCAATCCCGCAGCCTACATAGTGGCTTCTGGGGTCTCACAGATATCCACCAGATTAGAGTTGATGTAACTACAGGTCAAAGTGTGGACTTATCTAACACTGAGCACACTTTCCCTCTGTTCCCTTTTACCTGTATGGTAGCCCACTCATACAAACAGTGTGAACTGCAGCTCAGTGTAATGAACATTGACATGGAAATGGAAGTCTGAAATTTATTATACACAAGGATCGTGGACATTGAATGTAAGGTACAGAAAAGGGCGTATTTCACCAAGCACTTAGGCCTTAGCCCCAGAAATGCAGTCCTATTCTCAGAATCACCTTCCTTCAAGGTCAGGCCTTGGCTTACACTTGGCTCATGGGACCAGCTGTACAAAACCAGTTGTAGATGACTAATCAACTAACTGGGTTCCCCATTCCCCATCACCTCTCCCGCTAAGCCAGATTCCTGAAAGTGACTTAGCAATTACAGACCTCCCTCTCTCAGGCTCTGGTCTCTCTAGGTGCAAGAACGAACGGGATCAATCTAGTGTCACCCTCCCCACAGCCTACTGTGAAACATGAATGTACACGTGCTCATGTATGTTAGTGCCACACGTGTACAAGACAGGTGCCGGAGCTATGCCCAGGATGGACCACTGTGGCCATTCCTGTGAACCCAGTGTGAGCAGCAGGGAGGGTCAACCTTGGAAACTGGATTATTTTTAAAAAAAATGCAAGGCTTTCTTTTGTACATAAATCAGTCTTTCGAGTATTTTAGGTGAGAGTCAAACATCAACCAGGGATGTGGACTCTCACTACATACTGAAAACAGACTGGGGAAAATAAAACTGAAGAATCTTTTTAAAAAGAATGATTTAACTTTGTTAGTTTATTTATTTTAGTTTGACTAGAGAAGGACAGAGTGAGAGAGAGAGGAAGCAAGCCACCAGGTCTGGAACTCAAACCATGGTTGGCCATGTGGTAGTTCAGCGCCCTTAACCACCACACCACCTGCTGGCCCCAGAGGCTGAAGAATCTTACTTTGCCTCAGCAATATTCTATTCCACCCTGCTTTTTTTCCTTAAGAATTCTTTATTTATTATTATTATTTATAAATTTGCTATAGGGCATGTGTACTCATCAGACACACACACTCAGCCCCCCCCCACACACACACACAGAGACAGCAAGCAAGCTACCAGGTCTGGGACTGGAACCGAGGTCAGCCATGTGGGAGTCCAGTGCCTTAACCACTGTGTTACCTGCTGCCCTCCTCCCGCTTTTATAAAAGTTAGATTTATCCATGTAGTTTACACACAGTACATTCACTTTTCTTTAGTGACTTTTGAAAAACTCACAAGTTGTGTCACTGCTGTCACCACAATCAAGATTCTAGAATGGTCTGAACACTTTCCCAAATTTCGTCCTTGTAGCCAAGTCTCCCCTGCCTCCTACCCTTGAGACCTGATGCGCTCTTAGTCTCTGTGTCATTTTCTTTTTCAGAATGTCATATAAATGGATCCTGTAGTATAGTCTTTTCCTATTCTTTCGCTTAGCTAAAAGCATTTGAGCTTCATTCATGTCATCGGGTGTGGTTTCCAGTTAGGCGCAATGATAAATAAAGCCATGTGTTTTGAAGATACCGGCAATACTCATTTGTAGATTAAAATACAATTTATATGAAGCTCTTTTTATCTTGAGGCATGTTGCAAATGACCCAAAGAGTAGGGTGAGGAGTCATGGTCTTAACAGAAAGTCGTTTGGAGTGTGTATGTGTGTGTGCGTGTGTGTCAGTGTGTGGACAGAGATTGTGAATTCAGAGCTTATGAAGTGGAGTAAATACAAGTTAGTCACAGAGTGATTAATTGATCACTCTTGTCTTTTTGCTCTACTTGTCCTGAACCCTGTCCCCTCACCCCTTTGAAGAGTGTGAGCAGCTGGAACTGGGCACCTCCTGAGACCCCAAAGGGGCGGGGTGGGTTCTGCCCCTTTAGGGAAAGGCTGAAGTGCCTGTTAAGGTGGTGTGAAATGGGGGTGGGGGTGGAGAGGAGAGAATGTCTGCAGAGACTCCCAGGGTAACTTGGCACCTTCATAAGTGAATTCCTGCCAGCTCCCCTTCATCTAGGTGCTGATTATTCCATTTCACTCAGACTCTTTGCCTCTGGGTTTGGCTTTGGTTCCTTGCCCCTTGACAATTTGTTGTTCCTTAGCACCTCTGCTGAAGGGGGTACCAAAGACATCAGCCAAATCTGCACACCCCCCCAAATCCCTTCTGCAGACTCCAGGGCCCAGAGACCTGTGGGCTTCCTTAGGGGCAGCCTATGTAATAACACATTTTAAATTT